TCATATGGACGTACATACTTTATACATACGTACAAACACATATATATGTTGTTTTTGGAAAAATAATTGCAATCTGTGTCAGAAAGGGTTATTATCCATATATATATGGATTTCTGAAAGTAAGGGTAATATGTAAATGTGTGTCATAAAGGGTTCTTACCCTTATTTATAAAAGGAACTTCTAAAAGTAGGAAGAAAAATGCAAACCATCCCATGTAAAAATGGGCACGGGGTATCACCAAAGTTCACAGAGAAAACATTGCAAATAGCTCTTTAAAAAAAAAGACAAAGTCCTGGGCTCAAGCAGTCATCCCGCCTCAGCATCCCAAAATGCTGGGGTTGCAGGCATGAACCACTGCACCCAGCCAACAAATAGCTCTTAACTTAGAAAAAGATTATCAGCTTCCGTATTTTAGAGAAATTCAAATCAAACTCACACTCTAATACCTCTGCTCAACTATTAGCTTGGCAAAAATCCAAAATGTTGTTGGCAGGGTTCTGTGGAAAGGGGCATGACCATCAAATGCTGATGGGTGGGCAGCGGGCCCAGACCTACGGGGGAATTGAGCATAATCTAATACAATTGCACACACATCTGGCCTTTCACGCTGCAGTCCCAATTTCAAAGATATACTGGCAAAGATACAAAACAATATTGTAAAATATTTTAATTGCAGCATTTTTTGTAATAGCAAAATGGGAACGAACCCATATGTCCATCAGGGAGCTGGGTAAATAAATTAGGGTGCTTTTAACACAATAAAGTATGATGCTTTAAAAAGGAATGAGAAACATCTCTATATACTACTATAATGTTATTTCTAGGATGTTCTGTTTAATGAAAAAAGCAAGGTGGAGAAAAATGTGTAAAATATACAATGTTTATCTAAAAAGGGGATGAAATGTATATCTATATACACAAGCACATATATGTAATAAATATATGTACACATAAACACATATTCTATGTTCTTACACTTTGAGGAATGTAAAGAGTAACGATAAAATCAGAAGAATGTCAATGGAACAGGGAGAAGATGAGCGTATAGAACTTAGACGTCTTGGAAAAAGTTGTTTGGCACACTTGGCTCTGGTGCCACGTGAATGTTTTACATACTACCAAACAAAATTAAATTTAAAAAGCATCTCTAACTATTGGAAATAAAATGAACCTAAGTGCAGATGTAAGTGACGCCATAGCCATGCTGAGAGGAGCTGGCCCTTCCAGCTGCCTTTGAAACTCAGTAATGTGGGTATTCACGGTGAGATCCTCTAGTCACAAAACAGTGTCAAAAAATTAAGCTATTTTCAGTAATCACGTTAATGGTGGCATGTCAGTATTATTTCTAATCTTTTTTTTTTTTTTTGAGATAAGGTCTCACTCTGCGGCCCCAGCTGGAGTGCAGTGGCGTGACCACGGCTCCCTGCAGCCTCCATCTCCAAGCCTCCAGCGATGCCCCCACCTCAGCTTCCCAAGCAGTTGGGACCACAGGCATATGCCGCCATGACTGGTTAATTTTTTTTAATTTTTTGCAGAGACTGAGGTCTCATTGTGTTCCCCAGGCTGGTCTCAAACTCCTGGGCTCAAGCGAAGCTCCCGACTCAGCCTCCCAAAGTGCAAGGATGACAGGCTGAGCCACCACGCCCAGCCCAGATTGCTGTGTTCACAGTGGAACAATCAAATGAGTAATTCTGTTGGTGTCATTAAGAACTGGGAATTTCCACTTGGGAAGAGTGAAATGCAGAAGCAAGATCAATGAGGCTAAGAGGAAGGCAGGCCTGAACTGGAATTGGAAGGAGCATGGGCTCTCTCCACTGCAAAGGGCTGGAAACAACAGCAGCCTCCTAATTACAGTGACTGATACTCAAAGGCCATTTCTCACCAAGAGAACCAGAGCACAGTGGTAGAAATGGCTGATCCCAAGTTGAGATAGGATATATGCAAAATAAGCCGGCATTACCTTGTCACTCTAGAAGCCAAGGAGCCCGTTGAGTCTGCTAGGTTGTGTGGAAAGGTCCCAGGAGCCACTGGAGAAGGCTCTCACCGGACAAAGATGGACAAGTTGAGCACCAATAAGGAAGTTATTTATTTATTCTTGAGACAGAGTCTCACTCTGTCGCCCAGACTGGAGTGCAATGGTGTGATCTCACCTCCGCGGTTTGAGTGATTCTCCCACCTTAGCCTCCCAAGTAGATGGGATTACAGTTTCACGCCATCATGCCCAGCTAATTTTTGTATTTTTGTAGAGATGAAGTTTCACCATGTTGGCCAGGCTGGTCTTGAACTCCTGACCTCAGGTTATCCACCTGCCTTGGCCTCCCAAAGTGCTGGGATTACAGATGTGAGCCACAGTGCCTTGCCAAAGTTAATGAAATAGATTGAAACATGCCAAATATATTTTAACATTATACTTCCTAATGTCTTTAAAAAAACACTTCACTAGTCATCTTTGGAAGGTACTAAGAACCAACTTACTATTTTGAAAATTGGCAAATAGAGAAAACCTAGTAATTTTCCTGCCAATGCAAAACTTTTCTTTATAGAAGTATTCCAGCCTATAAATATAGATTGAATGATGGAATTAGAATATTTTCATTTTTCAAACCATAATCAGGTAATGAATCAAGGATCATTCACTGCTGCTAACGTCACGAGGTAGAGACAAGCAGAAATTTGTACCTTCCAATAAAATGTCACTATATCACCTATGGTTTATCAAGGGGAAAAAAAGGAACCTGAATTTCTAACTGCCAATATACAGAAAATGTCAGGCCTGTGATCAGCAAAATCCAAACTCCGAAACTCTACAGGACCAATTATCTGGATTTCTCATAGCAAATTGCAGGGAGATAAACAGGGAAATTATACAGCAGACGTAAGAGATTTGCCGAACAGTGACAATATGGGCCTTTTTATGTGAGTCCTGAGTCAAACGAGGAAGGGAGGAGGGAGAAAGGGAGACTGGGTCTCCGTTTTTTAATGCTAACAAGCACTCTGCTGGGAACACTCATTCCCCCTAAGAGCAAACATTCATTGATGATTCTGCCAAAACCAATCTCTACAATGATGATTACAAAATGGTGATTTTTCGACCGCTTCACTGCCTCTACCTTTACCAACTGGCATTTTGCTGTAAGGAAGCACTCCCTTCCCTCTTGTACTTAATGTTTAAATTAAACAAGAAGCAACATCAGATAACATCAAGGGGTTCAAAAGGCTTTGGTCAACAAGTTCTGCCATCAGGCAAGCTAGTGTGACATTTTTAATAACAGTCATGGATCTCAAATCTTTATCCAGAGCTTGAAGGAACTTGCTTCTAGAAAACTCTGTGCAGGCATCTCATATTAAACATGTTTAACTCAGAATTCACCGTCCATACCGCAAACCCACTCACCACCAACCCACTCTGTCTTAGTGTCACCACATATGAAAACTGGAAGCAGAGGGCATTCTTCATTTCTTTTTCTCCCTTCACACCCCGCCCCGCCCCGCCGACACATGCACACTGCACCTGGGCGCGGCTCCTGCCAGCTCCCCCAGCCAGTGGCCCCACAGACCTGAGCATGCTGCAGGCCCAGGCCTCCTCTCTGGATGACCACAGGAGCCTTGGCACTGGCCTCCCCACCTTCTTTCAGGCTTCTCTTCCTTCACACATAGTGACAGAGGAGGTTGCAAGAAGTGACCATGTGACCATGTCACTCCTCTGCCTCTGTTCTCAATGCTTCCCTGTCCTTTGGGGGCCAAGTTGCAGTTCCTAAGTGTGCTCTGTGCACCTCACCAACCAGCCCTTTCTCCACCTCCTGACGTCCCATTGCATCTTCTCCGTCTGCTATGCTGTCACCACCCTGCCCATGGGTTCTGTCCCCATGCCGGCCATCCCGTGAGTTCCGTCCCTAGGCTGGCCATCCCGTGAGTTCTGTCCCCAGGCTGGCAATCACATGGGTTCTGTCCCAGGCCGGCCATCTGGTGAGTTCTGTCCCCACATCAGCCATCCTTCTCCACATGCTCGGGGTCTCTCCCTCTGCTGGGCAGTTTTCCAGTACTGTCGCCTTCAGGTTATCCATTAGCAGGTTCCATAGTTATCAATCTGTAAAGGAACATTCCAGAATGTGCAGGGATTTTTATTGCAGGCAGTGATGCATACAGGTCTCACACATTTAACCTGTCGCATTTTAAAATATAAATGCTTCCCTTATTTGTAAATTTCCCAATTGGGAACTTTAGAGATTGTTGTACAGCTAACTCGTGCGTAAGATGCTTATCCCGAAGTGCTGGTGGAGAGCTTGGAGATTAAAGTGAGGCGGATGCAGGGACATAACTCACTGCATAAAAGGCCTCTTGGCAATAGAGTGCAGGCTGCAAATGTCATCAGGTGGTGGGCATTTAATGAATTCCCACCCTGCGCCCACTTAATTCTCTCTTTTAAAAGGTCAATGGAGGCTCACTTCTGAGGGTGCCTGTCTCCCTCCAGGAGATACCCAGATTCCGAATCGAAGCACAGGCCTCTTTCAGAACTTCATGCCATGGGCTGACGTGGAATCCCTGGTGCCACGAAAGGCCCCAGAGCAGCAGGGTCTGAGCTCACGCTCTGCAACACTGTGCCCAGCTAACACTGCCTCCTCACGCCCCAGGTCCAGAGCGCCCAGCCGCTGGTAGACACCCGTGCCCCGCTGACGTTCCGCCACCTCCAGCTGAAGCTCAAGAGGCTGAAGGTACACTTCTACCTTTCTTAACATAATAGCTGACTAGAAAATGCCAGCTTAAAAGCCCAGGAAAATAGAAAAGGCAGGTTTAGTTAGGAATAAACTCACCAAAGGCAAAACGCAGTCTAGGTGATGAATTCGCCCGTCTGTCCCTGAGGGAGCTGTTTGGTAATTGCAGGAGAAATCTTCCCCTGTCGCCATGCTGACAGTACACCAAGAAGTGTGTGACACACAGCTCGATCAATTTGGACATTTGCCAAGTCTAAGGACATGCCCATGGCATGTCCCCAGGTGGTCCTTGAGAACATGGTCTCAAGGTGTTCAAGATACAGCTTGGTTTTGTGCATTTCAGGGAGACTGGACACATCCATCAATACGTGTAAGGTGTACACATACGTGGATTGGTTTGGTCCAGAAAGGCAGGGCAGCTTGGAGTGGGGGCAGGGGTACTTTCAGGTCACAGGTGGATTCAAAGATTTCCTGACTGCCAATTGGTTGAAAGAATTTGTCTAAAGACCCTGAATCAATAGAAGGGAGTGTCTGGGTCAAGACAAGGGGTTGTGGAGACCGAGGTTCTTATCCTGCAGGCAAAGCCTCCAGGTAGCGGGCTTCAGGGGAAATAAATTGTAAATGTTTCTCTTCAGACTTTAGAAGGTGCCAGACTCTTAGTAAATTCTCTCCTGGATCATGAAGAAGACCTGGAAAGGGAAGGAGATTCTCTACAGAATGTAGATTTTTCACAAGAGACAGCTTTGCAGGGCCCTTCCAAAATAAATCAAAAAAATGTTTTGGGGGATAAAATACTTGCAATGCTTTTAAGGCCTGCTATCTATCATGTTGGTATCTTAGTGCTACAGAGAGACCTTTCGTCAGTCTTAAGGTCTCTATTTTAACCGTAATGCTGGTCAGCTGTGCCTGAATCCCACCGGAATGAGGGCACAATGAGGCATGTCCAACCCCACTTCCCATCGTGGCCTGAACTGGTTTGTTGGTTTAACTTAGGAATGCCCTTGGCCAAGGGGAGGGGTCCGTTTAGTCGGCTGGGGGTTGTGGAGGGGTTTAGAACTTTATTTGTGGTTTACATAATGCATCATGTCTTGGGGGAAGGGGAGTGGTTCACAGTAACAACGTATTCAGTGCTGTTCCAGGTAACTAGCATCATTCCTTCACTGTGAACCATTTCTTAACCACCTCAGAACGCTGGGTTGTTTGTTTTTGAGATAGAATCACTCTGTCGCCCAGGCTAGAGTGCAATGACACAATGTCAGCTCACTGCAGCCTCAGCTCCCAGGTCAAGCGATTTTCCTGCCTCAGCCTCCCAAGTAGCTGAGATTACAGGCATGCTCAACACGACTGGCTAGGTTTCGTATTTTTAGTAGAGATGGAGTTTCGCCATGTTGGCCAGGCTGGTTTCGAACTCCTGACCTAGGTGGTCTGCCTGCCTCTCCCGCCCAAAGTGCTGGGATTACAGGCATTGTTTATCTCTTGAAGTTTAGGTCATTTGATGAGTGAGAATTGCATGGTTATCTCAAAGTATTGCCTCCAGGACAAAATGCTGTGGGCTTTCTATGTGCCTGCTAAGCAAGGTTTGCTGTAAATGAGCTGAACTGAAGCCCAGTAACCAGTCTTGAGCTTATCTGCTTATCTGCAGATCGACCCCTTGGATGCCTAAACCGAGAGGCAGATTCTTTTCCTCTGGGCTCAAATGTTCCCTTCTTATAATGGAATAAAATATCTCTATGTTTATTAAGCGGGGATGATACACGCAGGGACACACTGTCACACTTTAGAGGGGACTGTACACGCAGGGACGCACCATCACGCCTCAGAGGGGACCGTACACGCAGGGTGGCACTGTCATGCCTCAGCGGGGACTGTGCCCACTAGGAGACACCGTCACGCCTCAGCGGGGACCATACACACAGGGAGTTACCACCACGCCTCAGCGGGGACCGTACATGCAGGGAGGAACCGTCACACCTGAGCGGGGACTGTGTGCACAGGGACACACAGTGTGTCCTGTGCAAACGGTTCACATTGAGGCATGACGGTGCGTCCCTGCGTGTACTGTCCCCGCTGAGGCGTGGGTGCGTCCCTGCGTGTACGGTCCCCGCTG